TAAACTAGATTTTTTTCTCATTGCCCAGAGACTCCGAATTAGATTTGTGTTCTTTATAGTCACTTATAGTGTCTTAGGATCTGGAACATGAGTATAATCCAGTAGAACTCTGTAGCACTTTTAAATTAACTGTCTTCCCATGCCTGACTCAAGCTACTAAATGGTACAGGAGCTGGCAGGATGGCTCATCAAGTGGTAGCACGTGCCACCAAGCCTGAAGGCCTGAGTTCAATTCCCAGAACCTACAAGGTAGAAGGAGAGAAATGACTCCCATCCTATGGAACAAACACACACATATCACACACATCACACACACACACACACACACACACATCTCACACACACACACATCACATACACACATTAAAATAAATATTTAAAATTTAAAAAGTAAACATAATGAACTTCAAGAAGACTAACTATTCTGCCCTGGCTCCCACTCCTGCCAAAAGTACCACATGAAACACAAGTCTCTCAAACCAGAAACTAGTGCAGTGTTGAACAAGGTTTACGCTTTCCATTTGTCTCCACAGGCCAATACATTTCTGAGAAAAAAATGGTTAAAATGATTTACCGGGAGAAAATACTTTGTTTTGTTTGAGTCCGTGGGTTTGCACTAACTTCTCCGTCATGATAAACACCGGCCTCTGCACTAGAATAAACTTGTTTCCCACCTCAAGCTTCTGCCTCGTGAAGGTGAAAGTTCCAAGTCCTGAAATATGAACTCCCTGAAAGGGAGAAAGAAGACAAAAAGAACAACACACACACAATTCCATAAAAGGGTGAAGTTTTATAACAACCCAATCACCAAAAAGGAAATGAAGATTTAAGCTTATTGATTTAACATTCAGTAGTCTCTGTGAGGCCTATAGATGTAACACTTCTATAGAAATGTTTATGGGTACCATAACTTTTAAAATCTGTATCAAATATTACTCTTTCCTAAACTATATGACATAAATTCAGTCATTTTCTACCTAATGAAATCTTTGTTTTCTTATTCTCTCAGATTTTATGTTCCCTATTTAAAGTCAGAAACCTCACAGTGGGAGAGGGCAGTTGGAGGGTTGAATATGAGCAAGAACAATCATGAATGTAAGAGAATGTCACAATGAAGCCCAGTGCTTGTGTGTTAGCTAATGAAATGGCATAAGTAGGTGAGAAGAAACAGAATCAGACAAGCCATCATCCAGTAATCTCCTACAATATAATCCTGGCCACTGAGTAAATGCAAACACCTCTTGACCTTAAATTTGGTCTCTGATATGACATACAATACCCTAGAGATAACATACACCAATGATTACAAACTCAAATCTATAGGAACAGGAAAAAGAAAAAAACCAGGGAGTGAAGGGAGCCAACTAGAATGTGTGGTGGCCAGGACACGCATGCTTCATGTAAAGGAGAGAATACATCATAGCCTGCATCCATGATCACATGCAAAAATGGAAGACAATATCATTAAGTCTGTTGAGTTTTTAAGAAAATGGTAAGAAAAATAAAAATACTCTGCTAATTTTAACTAATGATAAACGATTCCAATTCCCAAACCAGACAAAATTGGTCTGAAGGGTTCATTTAGCCATGGACTGTCTACTTAGGACATGTGAGTAGGGCATAAAAGTTCCACAATCTAACTGCCTCCAAGCTCCTTCTAAAACCCCTGCCTAGTCCTATAGCATTTAAAGTCAAGACTTGACCTGAAGAAATAGTTCAACCATAGGTAGTTTCTTATTTTCACTAACTGAGTTTAGTTTCTGCATTTATATATGCCAATTAAAAGTTATTATCAGTAAAATGTCAGAACAAGAAATTTATTCCCTCCCAAACCCATACCAGGAATAGACACAAATAGCCTCATCTAGTTTCTTCATGCAAACCCAGACTGAGCAGCACTGTGCACTCTGTATCACTAAAAGAGATTTTCAAATGCATTGTCTAAGAATAATATCAAGCCTGCCACAAATTCTCCACATATCAAAAAATAAAAATAAAAAAGAAATGACAACAAAACAGAATGGCTCTAAATCTACTGCACTACAAGTCTGCATAAGAAATAGCTCTCAAACTACTGTGTTGAAATTGGAGTGTAAAACCCACCTTATGCATAGTTAACTGCCTTTCCACAAATTCTGAAACATTTCCCCAAATGGTAGAGACTTCTGAAATTCAAAGGAAAATGAAAATGATTTAAGTGAGCAATCATGTAATAGTATTTTAATCCTGGTAAGCAAAAGTGTAAATATAAAATGAATAACTAAGTGGTAGTGACTTCTGATGCATATAGTACAGAAATAACATCATTCCCCAAAATTGATTTTCCTGTTAACTAAAGCTTATGCCCATAAGTTCCAAAGAAATGGTTTTAATTACAACAATAATGGGGCTGGGTAATGTGGTGTGTGAGGCTCTAGGTTGAGTCTTCAGTACTACAACAAGGTGTGTTATGTAACTCAGTAGGAGAATGCTTACCATGCATGAGACCCTGCATTCAATCCTTAAGGACTAAATAACAGTAGTAATAGTGAAAATAATAACATGAAGAAAGCCCCTCTATAATAATGGAAAATAAGTCATGCTTCACTTTCTCTAACCCATGGAGAGTTAGCCAACTATAACCTAGGGTTTTTTTTTTCTTAATGATTCACTCGACACCTATTCCCAAAGTGTTCGGTGTGGGCCACGTGACTGATATGAGCATGAATTTGTATACTATTCTGTAACACCGGAACAAGGCTGAGGGTGACTGATGCACTAAAGGCTGCCTGCCTGCTCTACACATTAGCTGCCCCTACTCATTTGCTTTTGCAAAATTCTCAAATACACTTTTTTCATGTTCATATTTCACTGTTAGATACCAGCTGCCCCCTCTCTCCACTGCTATTTTTCTGCAAGCTCCCTGATCCTCCCAATTTACTGCCACTAGTCTGATATATTATGGAGACAATAAATATACTAATATTTATCTACAGTAATAACTTATAAAAACTGACCATGGGTAGGATATTTGTTTGAATTATATATAGATTTCATAATTCTACTTTGATTTGACGGCTTTCTATACTTATTTTCTTGTAATGAGTTGAGCTTCTCCCCCCAACCACCCAAAAAGAAAAAGAAAATAGTTACTAATGTTTATGTACAAAATATGTAGTCTGGATATGAGTAGCACTTAGCAATATAGAAAATTATGTCTGTATTTACCTCACCATTCTAAATATAATCATATATTATTGGTGGTAATTTCTAATTTAGGAACTTTTTACAAATCAAGAAGGCTAAGTTTTAATTATTAAAATAAAAGACTGAAAAAGGTAACTTCTACTGGACTGCCAGCTGGGGACATGGAAGAAGCTAGCCACAAAAGGCCAATTCTTCTCCAACAATGCAGACTGGTATTATTTTTCTCTTAATGGATTAAATGACTAACTACAGCAGGAAGATTACACCCTTTGATTCTGATACATCAAGGCTATAAAACACTTTTTACTAGCAATGCAGCAGGATGCAGGCAAGTTTGGTGGATAGAAAGCAGCAGTCTTTCTCATGAGCATCTCAGAACAAGTTTAATAATGGAAACCCATGACCAAAACAGGGGCTCAATGAAACAGGGCTACTTGCCACGGTGAACACAGGCCCACTGTGAACCAGGAGTGTGCTGTTTCTACAGTTTTGTCTTTCCCCCCACTGTGCCCCATCCTACAGTAGTCACCCATTCCCTCCTTCCATAACAGCCCAAAGGATCTACCCCTTGCTGCTAAGACCTAAGAAAGGCTATCAAAGGCCAGCTGTGGGACTGGAGAGATGGCTCAGTGGTTAAGAGCACTGACTGCTCTCCCAGAGAACCTGGGTTCAACTTCCAGCACCCACATGGTGGATCTTAACTGTCTGTAATTTCAGTTCCAGGGGATCGATCAGCCATGGCAAAACACTAATGCACATAAAATTAAAATCAACTTTAAAAAAAAGAAAAGGCTAGCTGTGGTGTTGCACACGTTTAATCCCAGCACTTGGGAGGCAGAGGAACTCTCTATGAGTTCCAGGTCAGCCTGGTCTACGTAGAAGTTCTAGTACAGCCAGTGCTACATAGAGAGACGCTGTCTCAAAAGAGAGGGAGGGGGAGGAGGAGGAGGAGGAGGAGGAGGAGGAGGAGGAGGAGGAGGAGGAGGAGGAGGAAGAGAAGGGGGAATCTGTCAATCAATCACAACTATATACTAGGTTAAAACTCTCACTGACACTATAAAAGTAATTAACTCACTGACAGAAATCTTGATATTAATCAGGCCATATGTGGCTTTTTTTTTATATATAAAAACCTTAAGCCGAAGAAAAAAACATCTGAGCTGGCTCAAGTCTGGGAGCAGGGAAATCAGCTCTGAGATGCGCCTGAAGCACAGTAAGGTGCAGCCCCAAGCCCCCACATTAAGTCGTTGTCGCTTACCCTCCTGGCTCAGGGAAGGCAATGTGGGCAGCACCTGCCTGCACAGGTCCTGAAAGCCTGGGGCAATCCTGTCCAACATCTTCTGTCCCGAATGACTCCTTGGTGGGTCCTTGATGGATAGTCTCTTCTTTGGTATATGGACTTTGCACTAAAAGGACTTTCCCACCCTCCAGCTCTTCTTGCCCGGAATTTGAGGTGTACTTTAAAAGCAAATATTGTTGTAAAAATCTTGAAATGTCTTGATATTAGTTTTCCTTAAGTAAACGTTCTTCACCACCGTCCCTCCCCAGGTGATCTGGCTCGCGGATAACCTGTTCCCCCAACACGAAGCCAGAGCGCTGTCCCCCCCCGCTAAGCCAGAAGTGCAAATCCACGCCCATCCAAACAGCGAGGACCTCGGGCACATTGAGGGCGGCAGGGTCGCTGAACTAAGAAGGCATTGGGAAAGGGAGGTCTGAAAGCGTTGCTATGACGCGACAAAGACTGGCTTGGTTGCTAAGGCCTCAAGGCCCGGCCCCCTAAAAGAATCTGATCTCTAGGGAAGCGCAGGTAGACTTTAGAAAGTAGTTTTTGTTTGTTTGTTTTCAACTTTGTTCCTCTCCTCTTTCCTAGGACAGCGAGGACGCGGCCTTGACGGTGGTGTACATTGCAATCATCCAGAGCAAATGGAGGTGCAATGGGAGTGAGGAGGGGGGAGGGGGGAGGAGGGGGGGAGGAGCGCGGTGCATTTTGCCAATAGCGATGTAGATTAGACTCTATGGATCTGATTGAGGATTGGAGTTTAGCTGAAATTTATTTCTTGGCTTTGTTTTGTTTTGGTTCAGACTCCTCTCTTAGGAAATGGAGGGCTGGAAATGAAGGCAGAGTTTATGATTTTACTCCCCACTCCCCCACCCTCCTCGTTTTTGCCCTTCCCTATAGAGGAGAGAAAGGGACAACCCTGCAGATGGCTTTGCTTGTTCTCCCTCCTGCTAAGTAAGCACATGGCAACCCGACCCGGGTCGAGAAACAAGGCTGTCAGTACCACGGAAGCGCTCTCCCTTCCCCTGTGATCATTATCCCACCTGAAACTATATACCAGCTTTGACAGCATTTGAACTTTCGAAGACATGTAAACCATATTTTGTCTGGCCCTATCGCATTTTCGTTGTTGTTGTTGTTGGACAATCCCTTATGGTTTCTGTGGTAGCTATTTGGTCATTTAGACCTGCATAATCCTGTGTGAATGAAGGCCAGTCATTTATTATCCATCCCCCTGTTGAAGAGCATTTGAGTTGTTTCCATTCCTGGACATTAGGAATAATACTACTGCAAGCATTCTCTTACAAGACTTGCTTTTTGTTTTTTGGGTTTTTTTGTTTTTTTTTTTTTTTTGCTAATGCACACTCATCTCTGATGTGTCTATAACTCAGAGTACATTTGTGGGTCATGGAAAAAGCATGTGATCGGTTTAGATAGTGCCAAGCACATTTCCACAGTGGTGGTGATTATGGAGAGGTGAGAGGAACTGTTGGCATGTAATATGGACAGAAATGACAGACCACCTGAAAGGAAAAAGACTTGTTCCACAGACACCATTTTTAAACATCTCATCTGATGTCCATTTAAAATCCCAAACCAAAAAAAAAAAAAAGAGGCTGCTTTACAGCTTAGTATAAAAAAGCTGCAATCCCTACACTTGACCCGGGCTGCTTTTGTATATGCTGCATTCATAATGATTATTATACAGATACAAGTTTGTAATAGCATCATTATGCCCCCTAGTAGTCACACTTGGACACTGTCTTGGTTAAGGTTTCTTTTGCTGTGAAGAGACACCATGACCACAGCAACTCTCACAAAGGAAAACATTTAATTGGGGTAACGGCTTACAGTTTTGAGGTTCAGTCCATTATCTTCATGGTGCAACCCGGTGGCATGCGTGTGCTGGAGAAGTAGCCCAGCATCCTGTGTCTTGGCTTGCAGGCAACAGGAAGTGGACTGGGCAGTATCGTGAGCATAGGAGAACTCAAAGCCCACCCCCACACTGACACACTTTCTCCAACAAGGCCAAACTTCCTAATAGTGCCACTCGCTTTGGGGGCCATTTTCTACAACCCACCACAGACACGCACACACACTGAAATATAGTGTTTGATAGTAAGTTTTGTTGACTTGATGACACAATGTGGACTCACTTGGAATGAGTCTCAATGAGAGATTCAGTAGATTAGATTTGCCTAGGGGACCGCCTTGTGGATTGTCTTGGTTATGTTACTATGGGAGCACACAGCCCACTGTGGGTGGCACCATTACATAGGCAGGAAACCCTACACTGTGTATGTGTAGAGAGGAGGCTGAGCACAAGGTAAACATGGATGTATTCATTTTTCTGTGCCCTAACTACGAATACAACTAACTGCTTGGAGTGCCTGATATGATGAAATTATAACCTTGAGCTATGAGCTGAAATAAATCCCTTTCCCCTCTAAGTTGCTTTTTTTAATCAATGTATTTTATCACAGCAAAAGAAATAAAACTAGAGAAATATTTCACTGTATATTACGCTTAATATACCTATCATGCTAGGGATATTATATCCATGTTTAAAGAGTATGGGTATGTCAGCTCTACCTCCCAGGTATGTACCCAAAGGACCCTTTACCCTGCCATAAGCAGTAACACATCCGTGTTTACTGCTGCTCTAGTCACAACATCAGGGAAATGGAACCAGCCTAGCTGTCCATCAACAGAAGAAGGATGGAAAATAAAAATGTGGCATATGTATATTATACATATAATGAAATTTTACTCTTAAGGAAAATGAAATGCTCAGGGAAATGGAAGCAACTAGAAAGAATTATATTCAGTGTGGTGATCCAGTCATTGGCATACAAAGATCATATATTGTTTCCCATATGCTATTCCTAATATGTAAATCCTAACTCCAGTGTTTGTACGTGTGAAAATAAAGGTTATGAAACTGTGTAGGGGATGGTGAAGGGGGAAAGGGAGGGCATGTGTGGAGAATAGGCTACTGGAGATGGACAAACACAGAAGAGACGGGGCAAAGGGGGCGAGAAGAGAAACAAAACAAAAGACTTTGTTTGGAAAATGTAGTAGTGAAAACTAATTGTAAGTTAGTACTTCTAAATAGTATGAGTAGACAATCTGTATTACCTGTTAATCTGCTTCCAGGAAAATAATGAGTCATTGTGAAATATTTTTTATACAAAAGAAGCTCAAAACTTAGATTTTTGGGAAAATAATTAGCCATTCCACTCTCTACTTTACATCCTGACTTTTGTCCTTTAGTCTGTTCGTAGTGTTTAGTTATACAACACTTGGATAGTACTGAGGAACTGACCTGACAAATGTTTATAATCCAGTGCATGAGACGTAGAGGAGGAGAATCAGAAGTTCAAGGTCAGCCTCAGCTATACAGCAAGTTCAAGGACAGGGAGGACTATGCTACACCCCATCTCAAAAGCAACAACAATCCTTTAGGCGGCATGCATGCATATTTCTAAGATATAATTTATTTTAATAAAAATTTTTAAAAATCCTTTAAGTGTATGCCTTTAACCCCAGGCAGAGCAGGCAGATCTCTTGAGTTCAAGGCCAGGCCTATAGAGGGGAAAAAACAACAAAAAAATCCTTTAAATAATCCTTAAAATATTGGAGTTTGTTTATTTTTAACCTTATTTTATTTTATGTATAGCAATATAATTTACATATTAAATAACACTATAAAATGACTTGATATACTTTTAAACATAAAAAAGAAAAATTACTTCAATCAGTGCTACAAAGAGAAACCCTGTATCAAAAAAAGAAAGAAAGAAAGAAAAGAAAAGAAAAATTTGCCCAATTTGCCAAATTTGCCCAATACTAAATGGTCAGTCCTGAAAACATACAAACTATAGTAGCATTATACAAACTGAGGAGGTTGTATCTACTTGTTCAGAACATAACAATTAATGAAAAAGAGGCCATGACTTTGAAAGAGAGCAAGGATGATTATATGGGAGAGTTTGGAGGGATGAAAGGGAGGGAGAAACTATGTCACTATTGCCTAGTATCAAAAAATAAAGGCATAATTTTTAAATAACTGTATAAAGATAAAACATTTAGATTAAAAGTGTCTTTAGTGACTACACATGTCTAGTCCTTGTCACATGAAAGGTCAATGGAAATAAAAGGAAAGCTCAGCTTTAACAAGCAATCTTGTTGGATTCTTTTGGAATTCAAAAATGGTTCTTGCTACTCCAACACGCAAAAGAAAATAAATTATATCCTCTTTTCTGAATGTCTTTTCTCTGTACACTACCCTTTTGTGAATAAGCAAAGCGATGGGCACTTTTTGCTTTCCAATGTAGGCAGGCATAAGAGCAGCATAGCGAGGGTTCTAAGGACAGCTCAGACCCACGAGGCAAAGTGGAGGTCTTCTCTTACAGGTTTCAGAATGACCAGGGAGATCCCATGTAGAGGACGAGTAACTCATAGTATGTACCTGCAGTCAGGTTATATCTTTGCCCCAGGCATCAGGCCCTTTAGTTGATGTGTGTGTCCAGCCTATGGGATGTGCCACTTGTAATGTCTGTTAACTTAGGATGCTTGATAAACTTCCTTTGGGCAGGTGAAAAAAGTCACAGTCACAGATGCCATTGCAGGATGCCTGTCATTTCCTTTACATCAACTATGAGAGTAGAGAGAAAGAAGACAGAATAGCCTAACCCAAGCCATACTGGCTCTAGATTGTCTCCATATTTCCTTACTCCCTTCACCCTACTTCATGGCCATCTGTTGGTTCTGAGAGCCATTCAGAGAGCACCATTCAGAGAGGCCAACGACAGACACAGATGACTTAACCAGCTCCTATGGCATTGTAAGAGCTTATGTCCACAATAAATTCCTCATTCTCCACCACCAGAGGCTCTCCTACCCTAATTGAACTCTGCTATGGAACTGGTAGTTAAAACTCAAGTACTTAATTTATTTTCTTTCAGTTTTATTTAGAGTACAGTCAATATAACTGTTATACAGTACAATTCCCTTTAATAAACATGTAGTATCATGTTCAAAATATAAAGACAGTAGATTGGAACTCCAAGGAAAGAGATGCTATATACATGAAGAAAAAGCAGAGGGAAGGAAGAGCTAGCCATGATGGTACACACCTTTAGTCCAAGCACTCAAGAGGCAAAGGACGGGAGATGATCTCTGTGAGTTCAAGGTCAATCTGGTCCATAGAGAGAGTTCCAGGCCAGCCAGGGTAACATGGTCAAAATCTTGTCTCAAAAAATAAAAATAGGCTATGTCAAAGAATAGATAACATTGTCACCATTCTCCTGCACCCTCTGCAGGGTGGAAATCATACACTATGCCATGTATAATAAATGTGATCTTGATGAATAATGAATGCGATAATGACACCCATATATATAATACTATCTACTTACAAACAGGATAGGAAATTGATATTTAATCCCTATACATGACCTTACATCCCTACACATTCTCTTACATCATCTCCACTTTTCTTGTTTCAAATATGCTACAACAAGGAACCTGGCATTCACAGACCTGCATTTGAGCTTAAAATTAATATAAATGGGTTTACCTGACTAGATATTGATATTTCTGAACCCAAATTTTCCTTTTTCTATACAGCTTTACGACAAAGAATGTCATAAAAGAAGCACATACATCCTGATCAAAAGGTAAACAGGAATCCCAGCACTTGGAAGGCAGAGGCAGGTGGATCTCTGTGAGTTCGAGACCAGCCTGGTCTACAAAGTGAGTTCCAGGACAGCCTCCAAAGCCACAGAGAAATCCTGTCTCAAAAAACAAAAACAAAAAAAAAGGTAAACAGGACAGGGTCCTGAAAGGTGCTGCACACTGGAGCTTCTGGCCCCATCAAGGAGTTAGAGTGTGCCATCTGTTACAGCCTGGATGTTAGATGTCTCCACAGGTTTCTGTGTCCAAATACTTGGTGCTCAGAGAGAAACACTGTCTAATGGGGTGGAGCCTGTCTACAGGAAGTGGGTCTCTGAGGTGGGAGTCAGAACTTGAAGTCTGCAGCTTGATCCAACTTCCTTTCCCATGAGCTTCCTGTTCCTCTAAGCAATTCACACTGCTGATGGCACAGCTAAGAGCCACGCCTGCTGGCTTCTTCCCAACACCTCCCACTATACCCTTAAACTAGGAACCAAAGTCAGCCTTTCCTCCCCTGATTGCTTCCTGTCAGACATAGGACCACAGCGGTGAGAAAACCAACTCATGCCTCATTGGTCTGACATGCAAATGAGTTTACCTACCAACCCAAGGGCTTCCTGCATCTCTTTCTCTAGGGGTATCATGGAGGTTTCAACTCATGAGTGTGATTATTAGTCATTTGTGACTAACTCAGGTTCTACTCCTCATCAATAACTTCATCAGCACTTTAACCCACTGTTGCACTCCCAGCTGGATGAGTGATTAGAAGAGAAGGCCTAGTCAGAAGAAACAAGTTATGATGGATGTGCCTCTGAAGAGTTATTTCCTGTCCAGCTTTCCTCCTCTCCACCTCCCTCCTTCCTGGCTTCTATGAAGCGGACGTCGTAGCTCTGCCATGATGTATGCCTTATCTCAGGCCCAAAGCAATGGAACCAGGTGACTATGGGTGAAAACTATGAACCAAGGTAGAGATTTTCTTCTTTAAATTGTTGTTCCAAGTGATTCTGTCACAGCAACAGAAACCTACTAACACAGTAATACAGTAATACATGCATATAATGGAACACTGTCGAGGGCATACTCAGAATGAACTACTATAGGTAACACCAGTAAACTTCAAAATCACCATGCTGATAGACACAAATAATACCTACTGTGTGATTTTATTTTTCATAAAATTCTAAAAATGCCAAGTAATTTTTAACAAACCAAGAAACCAGCTATTTGGGGCTGGAGAGATGGCTCAGTGGTTAAGAGCAGTGACTGCTCTTCCAGAGGACACAGGTCCTATTCCCAGCACCCACATGGCAGCTCACACCTGTCTGTAATTCCAGTTCAGTGGATTTGGTATCCTTAGGCCAATGCACATAAAGTTAAAGTATTAAAAAAGAAAGAGAGAAAGAAAGAAAGAAGAAAGAAACCAGCTATTCAGCGGGACCAGGATCATGAGAAGATGATCTGCAAAGGTATGAGTATGTCAGAGATGGAGGGCATACACTGCATCTGAATAAGAGTCTCACAAAAAACAAAACTGCTAAAACTTACTTTTTATTTAATTTAAAAACAGTCTTATTTTACATATAAATCCCAGTTCCCTCTACCTCCTATCCTCCCATGCCCCCCACCAACACCCTATCCCACACCCCCATCCACTCCCCAAGGAGGGTGAGGCCTCCCATGAGAGGCTATCAAAGTCTGTCACATCATTTGGGGCATGGCCTACCCGTTCCCCCATGTTTATAAGCTGAGGGATTATCCCTCCATAGAGAACGGGCTCCCCAAGTGCACTAGGGATAAATACTGGTTCCACTACCAGTGTCCCCATAGCCTCCCAACTGACACCCATGTTCCGGGAGCCTGGTTCAGTCCTATGCTAGTTTCCCAGGTATCAGATTCAGGTTCATGCACTCCCATTTGCTCAGGTTAACTGTTTCTGTGGGTTTCCCCAGCATGGTCTTGACCCCTTTGCTCATCAGTCCTCCCTCTCTACAACTGGATTCCAGGAGTTCAGCTCAGTGTTTAGCTGTGGGTCTCTGCTTCTGCTTCCATCAGCTACTGGGTAAAGGCTCTAGGGTGGTATTTAAGGTAGTCATCAGTCTCATTATAGAGAAAGGGCTTTTAAAGTAGCCTCTCCACTATTGCTTAGATTCTTAGTTGGGGTCATCCTTGTGGATCTCTGGACATTTCCCTAGTGCCAGATCTCTCTTTAAATCTATAATGGCTCCCTCTATTCAGGTATCTCTTTTCTTGTTCTCTTTCTCTATTCTTCCCTCGCCTTGATCTTCCTGATCCCTCATGTTCTCTTCTGCCCTTCCCCTTCCTCTTACCTCCCTCCTACAGCGTATACTTTCAATGAGTCCATTTTATTACGTATGAAATATACCTCAATAAAGGCTTTAATTAGAATTGCAACTCAGAATTCTGTGGAAGCAAACACTGATTAGTCATGTGTATGAGGAAACTGCCTGTGGTACTGGGGGTAAAAAAAATCAACCAAAGGATTTGGGGGAGAAACGGCGTCCTCAGATCCTAAAGGCCCAAGCAATGTTCCTGTTACCAGTAGCCAGAGGAGAAAAATCTCTTATTTCAAGAGAAACTTGGTTCAAAGAAGGAAAAAAAATTTTTTTGGTTTATCAAGACAGGGTTTCTCTGTGGCTTTGGAGGCTGTCCTGGAACTAGCTCTTATAGACCAGGCTGGTCTCAAACTCACAGAGACCTGCTTGCCTCTGCCTCCCTAGTGCTAGGATTAAAGGCGTGCGTCTCCAATGCCCGGCCAGAGAAGGAAAATTAACCCTGGACCAAATGCTGCTCCAGTTCTACCCAACAAAACTAAAAAGACCAGAACAAGTTCCCTGTACCAAATACCTACGCTGTGCTCCAGAAGAGGGTTGCGTGGTCTGGATAGAAGTAGAAAAAACATCAACATGATAATCAAATATCAATGGAACATGATAAAATTCCCAGCATCTAACTTCCAAGGGAAAGGATCTTGCATTCAAGGAAGTAGAACACATGACCTACAAGGAAGGAGTGATAGCAATCATTCCTGGGCCAGCAATTGCTCAGAGGGTATGAATACAGGTTACCAAGACGATAATGACCTGAGTTCAATCCCCAGGACCGTTGGTGGAAGGAAAGACACAGCTCACACAGGTTGTTCTCTGACCTCCGCCATGACACACACACACACTGTCACACACACATTTTTAAAAACTGAAACAGAGTTTGTGGATATAGCTCTATTGGCAGAGTACTGTCTTTCATGCATGAGGTCCTGGGTAGGATTTCCAGCACAAATAATAAAGAAAAGAAATTCAAGAATAGAAACTTTAAAGTGTTGAAGTGGCTACTCTCTGGGGCCTGCTAAAATGTAAAACAGTGTCTGCCAGGTAGATGTTGAAGAAGGCCTTGAACACCCACAGCTTCCTCCCCTACCCAGATTAGGCACAAACTATGTTCATAGCAACATTCATAATAGCCAGATCTTGGAAACAACCTAGATGCCCCTCAACTGAAGAATGGATAAAGAAAATGTAGTACATTTACACAATGGAGTACTCCTCAGTGATGACATCCTAAAATTCACAGGCAAATAGAACTAGAAAAAAAAAACATCCTGAGTGAGGTAACCCAAAACTAGAAAGATATAGTATGTACTCGCTCATAAATGGATACCAGACATAAAGCAAAAGATACCCAGCCTACAATCCACAATCCCAGAGAAGCTATAACCCTCTTCCAGAAACAAATGGAACCAAATGCAGAAACCCAGGGCCAAGCTCCTGGAGTGCAATCAAAATGAGGGAGGAATGATAATATGAACACAGGAGTTAAGACCATGTTGGGAAACACACAGAATCAGCTGATCCAAGTTAGTGAGAGATCACTGACTTGGGTCTAGCAAATGGGGAACCTGTGTAAGACCAAACTAGACTCCCTTAATATAGGTGACAATGGTGCGACAGAGACAATATATGAGGCCACTGGCAGTGGGTCCAAGATCTAACTCTAATGCACAAACTGACTTAGTGAAGTCCATTCTATATGGAGAGATACCTTGCCCAGCCTAGCCACAGGGGTGTAGGGGTAGAGAGGTGACTCAGTCCTGCCTCAATGATATGATAAGACAGACTTAGTAGACTTCCTAGGGGAGTCCTTACCTTCTCTAAGGAGCAGATGGGAGGTGGGGGAAGGGGGAGTAAGAAAAGAAGAGGGAAGGGGAACTGGGATTAGAATGTAAAAAATAATTCATTAAAATTTTTTTAATTTAAGAAAATAAATCAGAGCCAATACACAAAAAGGAGGTACAGATCTAAACAGAGAATTCTCAACAGAAGAATCTCAAATGGCCAAGATACACTTAAAGAAATGTTCAGCACCCCTAGGCATCGGGGAAACACAAGTCAAACTGACTCTGACATTCCATCTTACACCTGTCAGAATGGCTAGTATAAAAAACACAAGTGACATCTTATGCTGGAGAGGATGTGGAGAAAGGGGAACACTCCTCCACTGCTGGTGGGAATGCAAACTTGTACAGCTGCTTTGGAAATCAATATGGCAGCTTTTTAGAAAATTGGCACTCAATCTACCTCAAGACCCAGCTGTACTACTTTGGGGCATATAGCCAAAGAATGTTCCACCCTACCACAGGGACACTTACTCAGCTATGTTGACAGCAGCTTCATTCGTAATAGCCAGAACCTGAAAACAGCCTCAATGTCCCTCAACTGAAGAATGGATAAAGAAAATATGGTACATATACACAACGGAGTATTACTCAGCTGTTAAAAATAATGACATCATGAAATTTAAAGGCGAATGGAACTAGGAAAAAACCCAGACCCAATACTCAGCTGTTAAAAATAATGACATCATGAAATTTAAAGGCAAATGGAACTAGGAAAAAACCCAGACCCAAAAAGACAAGCATGGTATGTACTCACTTATAAATGGATATTAGTGGTAAAGGGTAATTATGCTATAGTCCACAGACCCATAGAGGCTAGGTAACAAGGAGGGCTCAAGGGGCAAGGGATGCAAGGGTCTCCTGGAGAAGGGAAAATAGAAGAGATTTTGTGTATGGACTGGAGACTGGTAGAGATGGGAACATGAGGGATCAGGCTGGGGATGAATAGAGGGGGAGAGTGCTAAAAGAGATGACTGGAAAGGGGGAACATTTCCAGGTCAGTAGAAACCTAGAACTGGGCAGTGGTGGTGCACGCCTTTAATCCCAGCACTTGGGACGCAGAGGCAGGTAGATCTCTGTGAGTTCGAGACCAGCCTGGTCTACAGAGTGAGTTCCAGGACAGCTAGGATACAAGGGAAACTCGGGAATCTACAAGGATGACCCCAGTTAAGACTCCTGACAGTGGTGGATGTATAGCCTTAACTGACCATCTCTTGTAACTGGGCAGGACTTCCAGTGGAGAGATTAGGACACCTACAGTGTGTTCTGCTTATGGGATGTGGGTGGCAGGAGTGAGGGATGGACTAAGGGTGGTATGGAGATTGTGGGAGCGGCCAGCCAATGACTGGTGCAGTCTCAGACCCATACCATGAGAGTGAGCCCATCCCTTACACTGCCTGGAGCTCCAGGACCCAGAGGCTGCATGGCCCAGAGACCTAAGATATAACCAAACATGATCAGAGAAAAAAGAAAGGCAACATAGTGATGTCTAATGATATTCTGGTATACTCATGGATTGATGCCTAGCCCAATAGTCATCAGAGAGGCATGACCCAGTAACTGGTGATAACAGATGCAGACCCACAGCCAAGCATTGGGATAACCTCAGAGAATCCTGCAGAAGAGAAGAAGAAAGGACTGTATGAGCCAGGGTTCAAAGCCATCACAAGGGAACCCACAGAAACAACTAACCTGGGTTTATAGGAGCCCATCTGAACTGACAGCCATTCCCCATTCTTAATCTACCACCTTCAACTCCTGTAAGACATTGCACTTTCTCAAGTCACTTTTACTCCCTTGAGATTCTTTCTCCCTCCCTACCTCTTGATGTTTCTGGACAGGGTTTCTGCCTCTGTTAAATCTTCTACTGGGATTAAAGGTGTGATCCACCACTGCTCTGCTGGAATTCTTATACTGGAGTCTTCATTCCAACATTTATCTCGCTGTTGTACCCAAGTCTCAATTGCTATTAGGCTGTCCCTCTGCCCATCTACACATCTGGGTTAAATAACTTTTCTCGGGGCTTGAATTCTTCAATGTTTCTTGAACGGCTGGTTAAGTGCGCTGGATGCTTAGACAAGATTCCTACACACTATCCTGCTGTAAAGCGCCATCTAGTGGCACAAGAAGGTAACTAGTTAGAGATTGCCTAATTTGTACTCCAGCTTGTAAAATTCTCCACTCAACCTGTGAGTGGAGACTCCACATAGGTCACATATTAGACATCCGCCATATCAGAAATTTACATCCTGATCCATACAGTAGCAAAACTACAGTTATGAAGTAGCAATGAAATAATTTTATGGTTGGAAGTCAGTACAACATGAGGTACAGGACTACAGGGCCACAGCATCAGGAAGGTTGAGAACCACAGTTGGGGGCGGGGAGCTGCAGTGTTCTACGTGAGTGTGTTATCTGAGGACAAACAGTTTTTGAAAGACTATGTCCTATGCTTTTGCCCACTCCTATTTTTTTTCCACTTTCCTCCCCATTTGTCACATTCTAAATCCCTGGCCCTTTTCTCCTTACAGCTGCATCCTGTAAGAATAGGCGGCCTTGCATTCGCAGTGCTCTGGCTCCTTAGAACATCCAGTTGTGCATGATCTCGGCGGGACAGTATTGCCCAATGGCCGACTGCGTTACAGAAGGTGAAGGGAACAGAACTCTTCCTGACTCAGCATGACCAGAGGCCAGGCATGGGACCAAAGCTCATGTGAGAAGAAGATGGCGCAGGGCTTCTGACACAGACAGCAGGAAAATCTGGAAGGTGCCATGCAGAGAGGGCAGGCTTTCCTCTCCTGATTTAAGAGAAGCCGGGTTCATAATGCCACCTTTACAGCTCCCTCCACTCCTGCCTGCCTGACCCTTGAAGTTTCCGCCACTCTGTAGCCTCTCCCACAGACTTCCCATAACTCCCTCAAATCCAAGTCAACATCTGTGACCCTGTTGCATACAAAGTTACGTAAACAGCTAAATGTCAGACTTGTGGGGCGGCATCAAAGGAGACAGGCTATCCACTCTCTCACATCATGGTCGGATTAAAGAGATCTATTTAAATCCTGCCTTAAATTAAGCAGGCAGCTCCAGCGAAAACCAGAGAAAGAACAAATGCCAATGGAAAGATTAGACTTGCCCTATGCAGATTAGATTGTGTGACTCTGGAATAGAAGTTAATCTACCTAATGGCACATAAAATCATTTACTTTATGAGAAAATCAGTTGCAATTGGAAAGGACTCCTCAGCTTGCCCCTGCTCACCCCCACCCCTACTCCACAAAATAGAAACAAAGTGGATAGGATATGTGTGCTCATGCACACGGCCAGTGGGTACACCGGGAAACAGAGTTTATGAGATACAAAGTGTCTGAAACCTTATTCTGGTGCCAAGAAGTGGCTTGCATAAAGGGGACAGGAGCAAGCTTTGTTCTTGAGATGTTGGACAACTTGGGTATGATGCAGTCCTACCTGACTCTCACACAAGGAGAAGGAGAGATCAGTTAAAGCCAAGCCGAATGCTGTTCTTCCCCTTGGACTCCAAATGACTTGGGAGAATTCAGCTGGCCCATCAGTAAAGAGCAGCTCTGGGCTCTATTAAGGACTAGCTAATATCCCAAGAAAAGAACTGGGAGCCATGAGATGGCTTAGTGAGTAAAGAATGCTTGCCACGAAAGCATGAGAACCAGATCCCCGGCACTCAAATAAAAAGCCAGGTATGGCCCAGAATAGCTGGAACTCTGGGGAGAGATAGGAAAATCACTGTAGCCTACTGACCAGCCAGCCTAGCTGAAAGGGTAACCTCCAGGGTCACTGAGAGACTTTACTGATCTCAAGGGAATAAGAAAGAGAATGATAGAGCAGGACACCCCACATTACTGCAGAAATTGGGATTCCCTTTGAGATTCTTAGTTCTGTTAATAAGAGAATTTGGAAACAGAGTCAGAAGGAAGTATGGTTTAAAAGAAAAACAGGGCAGACAAGCTCTTAATCTCAGCAGTTTTCAGGAGTTGAGAGACGGGAAAGAGAAAGCTATGCCCTTTGAACTAGGATCCTAAGTGCTGGCCTGTCTCCTGGCAGAACGCACTCAGGCAGTACCCCTGGCCAGCCCAGGTTTCCATGGCTGCTACTTCACTATGTAGTCTGCACGAAGGTGCAAAGGACCCTTTAAAAGAAAAAAAAAACCCCACTCACATCCACCCTCTTTCCCGCAGTTCCCCTGAAGGAGAGACAGGATCCTGTCTCCCTCTTCTCTTCTGTCCTCTCTCTGTTTCTGTGTCTCTTTACCTCCTTTCTCTTTCCTTCCCCCCTCCCTTCCCTTTCTAAAAGACTTCCCACTTAAGGGCGTGTTTGTCCCTTGCCCGCCAAGGAATCTGCCAAGGTTCACTTTGCGCTTTATCTTAACAGTTGGTATGTCTTAGCAATGGAGGCCAGCAAGCAGGTACACGGCAGAACAAAGGAGTGGGGGAGCTAAGGACAACTGAGAAAGTCCAGAGCAGGCCCAGGCTTTGGCCAATATCTGAAAAGAGACCGAAAGAAGGAAAAGGGAGGTTATGCTTTCCTGAAATTGACAGTCTGATAGGTGGACAGGCTCTGTGGTGACTCCACAGAGACTTCTGGGAAGGGTCTGTGTGTTATCTCATCAGGGAGACAATTAGTATTCCAAGATCCTTAGCACCTCCACAGGTAAATCAGCTTTCCTAGGGGGTGAACTCCCAGCCAGTTGATTGACAAACCCAACAGGATTAACTCTTTTTTGTTTTAAGTGTTCTGCCTGAATGTATCCCCGCAGGCCAGAAGGGGGCACCAGATCTCACTGCAGATAGTTATGAGTCACCAAGTGGTTGCTGGGAATTGAACTCAGGACCTCTGCAAGAACAGTCAGTGCTTTTAACCTCTGAGCCATTTCTCCAGTCCCCTGGGATTAACTCTTAGGGAAGGAGCATGTAATGTTTTAATCTTTGGAACTGATTAGAATGTCATGTTTCTATCCAAGGCAGGGATAACCCATTCTTTTGACCAGGAAGTCTGAGAAGTGACAAAGTTGATGTTGACCTGTTTAGTGTTACCAGGGAAATAGGTGGTAGGGTCCAAAACTAACCATGAGGGAGGCTCCATCCTCAATGGCTTCTAAGCCTGTTGGCCTGTTAACTGTCTCTGCCTTCCCAGTGCTGGGGCACAGGCAGACACTCCCACACCTGGAGCCTTCATTTCTTTTCTCTTTGCTGTCTTGACAAAAGCAACTTCAGCTGGGCGGTGGTAGATGGATCTCAGTGAGTTCAAGGCCAGCCTGGTCTACAAAGTGAGTTCTAGGACAGGCAGAACTGTTACACAGAGAACCCTGTCTCAAAAAAAAACAGAAGGAGGAGAAGAAAGAAGGAAGACAGGAAAAAAGGAAGGAAGGGAGGGAGGAAGGAAGGGATAGAAAGAAAAGGAAAGAAAGAAGGAAAGAAAAAGCTACTTCAAAGAACAGGCATTTATTTGAGCTCATGGTTTATGGTACAGTCCATCACAGCACAGAAGTCAAGGCAGGATCCTGGGAGCAGCTGCTCATATTATGTTGGCAGAGAAGAGAGCAATGACTTCATAATGCTGCTCAGCTCCCTTTATCCACTTACACAGTCCAGGAAGTGACAATACCCACTGTAGAAAGGTCTTCCCACCTCAGTCAAGGCAACCAAGATAATCTCCAAGATAAGCCCAAATGTCTGTCTCCCAGGCAATTCTAGATTCCATCAAATTGACAGCTGAGACATCCTAATTTTCACTTGGGTGCTAGGAATCAAACTCAGGTCCTCATGCTTGCAAGGCAAGCCCTTTACAGATACAGTCAACCCCCAGCCCCAGAATCAAAACCTGACATGGAAAGCTTACTAATGACACTTTCCTATGACCCCAGAAGATTGTCTGTGCTTTTAGCATCTTATATTCATTATATCAACATCTGTTTTCCACACCACAGGAGCTCACAGGAGAGAATTGTGTCTTGTTTATTTCTCCATGTTTGTCTCCATACCACCAAACCACAATGTCTGGCATATTAAACATAATCAAATGCATACTGAGCTTCTTTTAATAAGAGGTGACAGATGCTGTATCATACTATGTAAACAAGCATCACAAAAGATTTTGAATTCTTAGCTAGGCGGTGGTGGCATGTACCTTTAATTCCAGCACTCAGGAGGCAGATGAAGAGGAATGCCTGAGTTGGAGACCAGCCTGGTCTACAGAGCCAGTTCCAGGTTGGCCTGGATTAACCAGAGAAACCCGGTCTCAAAAGACAAAAGATAAATAAATAAATAAAAGTTTTAAAAATGAATTCTTGTTCTAGTCCTTTGCAATTTGCGATCATTTCAAGTGTAATTTCCAGGTCTCATTTCAGACCTTCCTAGGGGGTCCTTTGGCAATGTCTCTCCCACTGCTCCTCACAAATTTAATGTCTGTAATTACAGCACTGGCAGGATTGCTTGAATGTGGTTCTCCAGACTCTCTAAAGGCAATGTTTGCATTCCCTGCTCTTTTGCCAAAACTGCATCTGCTCCTGTTTACCTTCCCTCCTCTGCTGGCCATGTGGGAGGCCATGAACGCTATTAATTATAAAGGCGGGCATTTGTCCTCCGGCCTTCCCACGTGACATATGGAAAAGCAATTTTGGGGGGGGTTTGAGACAGGGTTTCTCTGTATTGTTTTGGAAGTCATCCTGGGACTCGCTCTGTAGACCAGGCTGGCCTGGAACTCACAGAGATCTGCCTGCCTCTGCCTCCCAAGTGCTGGGATTAAAGGCATGCACCACCAATGCCTGACTGGAAAAGCAATTATTTGAAGAACCCAGAACTGCTTTTTCTGTCTTGACCTGAGCTCTTCAGGAACAACCTAACTATGAGCATGCAGCTGCTTACCACGTCCTCTTACTGGCCTTGAGAACTCCAGGTTGCTATAACCAAAAGAATGAAGCAGATGAGTGAATAAACCCTAATAAAATTCCAATGAAAGATGAGACTAGACTAACACAAAACTTTTGTTACTATAAATAATAACTATTGTCACAAATCTATTTTTAAATGTTTAATTAGAAAACACACATATACAAATTTAGCGTCTTAACCATCCTAAGAGTAAAATACAATGGTGGTAGGTTTATTTACATTGTTCCCAACCAATGCCCAAAACTTTCTTTTAAAAAACTGAAATCACAGCTGTTAAACAGCTCCCATCTCCCCACCCCACACCTTGATAACTACCACTCCCCTTTCTGTTTCTATGACTGATACTAGATACTTCCGGGAAGTGGAACCTTTAGGTGTTTGTTTTGTAACTGGCTGGTGTCATTTGTGTTGTGTCACATGTGGAAAACTCTTTTGTTAAGGCCCACAAACCATCTGTCCATGCTAAAAAACAAACTTCTTTTTGTTTTTGTTTTGTTTTGTTTCCAAGACAGGGTTTCTCTATATAACAGTTCTGACTGTCCTGAAAAACTCCCTGTAGACTAGGCTGATCTCGAACTCACAGAGTTCTACCTGCCTCTGTCTCACCAGCGCTGGGATTAAAGGTGTGTGCCACCCCCTCCTGACACAAACTTATTTTTCACTTCAAAGACATTATTACCTAGTGTTTCTCAATCCTTTCACCACATAGGTCATTTTCTTTTAATTCTTCTCTTTCAAAGAGACTTTTAAAGAGCAGCTTTAGGTTCATAATAAAATTGAGCAGAAAGTATGGCAATTTCCCACTCATCTCCCACCCTCTAAGAGACACCAACATAACACTCCTCACTACACAGTGTCACATTTGTTATTACTGACAAACCTACACTACTCTTTTTGGCCTAAAGTTCAGTTTATATTAGGGTTCATTCATAGTGATTTGGACAAGTGCACAATGATGCACCCATCCATCAGATGAACATCCCTAATCTGAAAAGTCCCAAATCCAAGAGCTCTTGAAGGCTAGTGATAGTCCAAGTTTAAGATTTTGGAGCACTTAGGGTTTCAGACATTTAGATTAAGGGTGACTAGTCAGCAAAGCCTATGAGATAATTTTAAGATAAAAATAAAACCTCTGTCTGAGACACTTTAGGTCCTACACATTTCAGACAAGGGATGCTCACACTGTACTAATATATAGGAACTTAGATGCCCTAAAATCCTCTCTTCTGCCTACACGTTCCTTTCACATCCCCCTCCCCCAACACTTGACAACCTTCTCATTTCTCTATAGTTTTCCTTTTTTAGAATGTCTCACCTAGTTGCCTGTATCCAAGGTTCCTCCATGTCTTTTCGTAGCTTGACCGGTCGTTTCTTCTTAGTGATGAATAGCATTCCATCATAAAAGTATGTTTGGCTTTATGAAAAGCTGCATATTCCCTTGCAAGGAAGTTTTATTATTTTGCATTTCCAACAAGAGCTGCTTTGCCCCATGTTGCCATTAGCATTTGGTACTGGTATTTTAATTTTGGGGCATTTTAATAGGGTGCAGCAGTATCTCACTGTTGTTCTGATTTGCATTTCCTAGAACATGATATGGAACACTACTTAATGCTTATGTATGTTATATATATTTATGCATATATGTTATCCTTTTTGGAGAGGTGCCTGTTAAGGTATTTAGCTACCTTGGTTTGAAAATCAATTATTTTCTGTGATGAGAAAGTATCAGAGATACAAAAATTTAAGTGACTGAGATAACAAGATGGTAAAAATAAATCCCCAGCCAGGCTGAGGATGTAGCTGGGTGCTAGAGTCCTTGCCTGTGTGTGCAGTGCAGGATTATGGCAAGCTGCAAGCCCTCCACAATGAACTACATCTCTTGCACTTGCATCCTCTCAGGATGAGAAGGTTTTCTTCCCGTCTATATTAGTTAACTTTCTATTGCTGTGATAAAATGCCATGACCAAGGCAACTTATAAAAAGGAAGGGTTTATTTGGGTTTACAACTCAGAGGGACAAATCTGTCATGGTGGCAGAACAGCAGAGAGCATTAATCTTGAGTTGAAAGCATGACACAGAGAGCTAACTGGGAATGGTGCATGACTCTTAAAACCTCATAGACAGACAACTTGCTCCAGTCACGACGGCAATTTGCATGACTTTCAACACCGTTCAGAGACAGAGACATCTTGGTGAATTTTGGATGGCCTTGTTCATCCTGAAGCCTTCTCACTCAGGACAGAACAT